ATTTTATGTGTTTATTGGAAATTGTTCTTTGGCTTGCTTGTAGTGATGTTATACCAGTCCTTATTCTCTTTCTTTCACATATTAAGTTTACACAGGATTGGGCCAAAATCTTTTTTTATTGCCCATTTTTAAGTTTAATAAGGTTTTCTTGTTGTTAGAGAGAGGGTTGGGCCAGAATAATTTTTCTAGCTACGTTACCCTAGCACTCCCCTTGTACTGTGTTTATAAAGTGATTTTTTAAATGCCCTTATATTGTTGATATCTACTTCCTCCTTTTGCTCATTTTTATCTACACTTTTTCTTCTTGTCCCAATTGTTCCTGACCTACTCAATTTGGATTCTATTTCCCTAGGTTTTCTTCATTGAGGAACTTTGTTTTTTGACTTAGAGCCTGCAGAACCCATTCTCTCCTAGTTATGTCTACTGCTTTCAGATTGGCTGTGTTCTATCAAATGAGGACTTGAGAAAGACTTGAGCGTTCTCTTCTTGAGAGCCTCAGGTTTTTCCGTCAACATCATTTTTCATAGAAACTAATATATGGGCCTTATAATCACTGGTGATTTTCATCACTCACCTTATTGCCTTGTTTTACTCTAGATGTTATCTGTGGGGTTTGTTGTTATTGTGGTTGTGGTTATGTTTGTTGGTTTGTTTTTGGTTTTGTTTTCCCAGTGTCTTTTTTCTGGTTTTGTATAGCAGGCATTTAAAAACGATGCCATCATGTGTTCCCAGACTCTACCTTCAAACTTTTACCAATAGACTTTTTGAATAACACTAATCCCTTTGTGTTGGGGCTGCTTTATTTGATGTTTATTGCAAGCAGTAAAACATGGGACAAAGTCAAGACAGAGTGAATAAGGAGGGAAGCAGCTTGTTGAAGTAGTTTTTTAAAGAGCTGGGGGGGGCGAGGGAGGGGGAAGATGCAAACATTGTTATGGGAGTGGGCAGTCACAGAAGCTAAAGGAAGGTAAGAACTGAGGTCTTTGGATTTTGTTGCCTTAAAAAAAATGTTTATTTATTTATCTTGAGAGAGACAGCAGGGGAGGGGCAGAGGGAGAGGTGAGAGAGAATTCCAAGAAGGTTTTGTGCTGTCTGCACAGAGCGCTACGCAGACTCAAACTCACAAACTGTGAGATCATGACCTGAGCGGAAACCAAGAGTCCGAGACTTAACTGACTGAGCCACCCAGGTGCCCTGTTGCTGTTTTGTTGGTTTTTCGTTTTTTGTTTTCAAGTAACCAGAGACAGTTTGAAAATAAAGTGGTCGTAAGATTAAATGGTATGGTTCATTTCCAATGCATTCTGCACATTCGTTAGGCCGTTTGCAACCTGGTTTATCTGCCTTTGTTTCTGAGTGGTCGGGAAGAGTTTTTACAGTAGATTTGGTGCCATATGGGCAAACTGCACTGATCTTGATAAAGAAAGATGGTTCCTTGTGTGTACTTGGGTAAGGGAAATCTTACTAACTTCTAAATTGTTTTTAAAATCCTTACAATCTAGGATTCAGAAGTATTACAGCATCTTCATGGGGAGAGTAGACCTGTTGTCAGGTCTCTCCAATTCAAAAACACTGGTATAGGAAAGGTCTTTAAATACTTCTTTCCAGAAAAATTATTTTGTAATAATCTCTAGTTCTTCATCTTTCTTACTATTGATAAATGTGCATTACTGCCCTCTGCTGCATGAACTTGGACCTCTCCTAGTCTTGCAGACTAATGATAATTTTGCAAGATCATGGATTTGTTTTAAAGCCCATTTCTAAAAGTTGGCAGGAATTCTTATTTTGTCAGAGAATAATATCATGATGGGTTGCAAGTTTTATCCCCCATTTGTATGGATTTACTTAGAGGCATTACTTAGAGCGGTTTCCTTAGAGGCATTTTAATATTAAATGGACACTGAAAAAGAAAAGCAGATGATCATGTCTGCTATATTCAGAAAGTGCTTTACAAATGAATGGCAGATAGTGTACAAATTAACTTATAATTAACAGTCTTAGACTGAATCTACACTTGGTTAAAGAGAATGAAAATTGGTGGATTTTAACAAGCATAACTTTTGATCAGAACTTACAATTGTGGGCTTTTTAAATGAATCACCTCCTAGAATTATGCAAACATATAGAAAGGAAAATCACATAATTACATGAACTTGAAAGTAATACTTAGGAAGTTATAATTGTATCTTGGCTTTTCACATTAGAAAAGGTCCCAGTTTGCATATCTCTGGCCCAGTGCTAGCTCCAGTGTTAAGTGGCAGAAAGACATGCATTCAATATTGTAGAACAAAACGACAGTTTTCAAAATTTGATTAATTCTATTACATGCTAAGAGTATATTTATACAATACATTTTGATACCTAAAAGGCCAATGGATAAAATACTTGAGGATTTCATTTTCTTATTAGTTAAAATATAATATTGGTATTGGGGAACAAGGCTAACCCACTTTTAGAACATGGAAACGGTTGTTATGTTCTAGATCTTATTTGATCTTAGGTACATAAAATCTGCACATATATTCTTGAAACTAACAACAAAAATAGCATCTTATGGATTTTGGAAAGAACAACAACAAAAACTGAACTAAATCTGAGTTTATTCTAACTCAGATTTCTTTATAACTTAAAAACTAAATGGTCAAAGTGCATGTACATATATTAAAAAAATGATTTCATGAGCAGTTTCAATGAAATTAGATATTCCCCCTGCTTCCACATATTTAGCACTGCCTTGAATTAATTAAACGTACTGCGATTCCAACTGACTATTAATTTACTGAATAAATGGAACAAATCAAATTAAATAAATGGACAAATTAAGTTAGTAACAGAACAACTTGCTGATTGCTAGATCGATCTATTTTTGATTCCCGCTTCCTTTTTCTTTGATCTACAATGATTTCATTTTTGTATCATATACTCCTGTATTTTATTATTTCCATCTTTCATTAACGAGGTGCTGTTTTGAAATGTAAAAATGACCTTATCTTCTTGGCAAATAGCTTGTATTCATTTTCAGGGCCCCAGTGGAATCTCAACAATCATATTCAAACTCAGTCAGCTGGGTCCATAGTTAGCCATAAGTCACACACAGAAGAAAGGTGAGAAAGTTAATATCATTAACACAGGCCAGAGGTAAAATGTAACAGGAAAAATTTGAGTAACATTTTTAAGTGGATGTATGACACATCTCCCACCTTAAGTTTAGGAACTCTGGTGGACTTCCAGAAATGTTACTCCTTCCCCAAATATTTTAATATGCACTATGTCTATAAATCCATCTGTTAGGGACTGAATTCTGTTTCCCCCCCAAATTTACATGTTGAAATCCTAGCCCCCAGTACCTCAGAATGTAACTGCATTTGGAGATAAGGCCTTTATAAAGGCCATTAAGTTAAAATGAGATCTTTAGGGTAGACCCTCATCCAGTCTGACTTATGTCTTTATAAGAAGAGGAAATTTGGACAAAGACATAAAGGGACAGACAAGTGAGGACACAGAGAGGCGTTAGCCACCTGCCAGCCAAAAAGAGTGGCCTCAGAAGAAACCAAACCTACCCCCATGTTGATCTTGGAATTCTTGCCTCCAGAACTGTGAGAAAATAAAATCTGTTGTTTAAGCCATTCAGTCTGTGCCATTTTGTTATAGCCACAGACTAGCCATAGACATAAGACACCATCTAAATTGATAGCAGAGAGCCTTTTTTGTTTCTCTGCTAAATGATCACTGAGTTTCCAAGAGGCTCTACTACATTGGATGAAGCTGCAGTATATATACTCGTCTACTTACATTATTGATGTTATTTGTAGCCATTTACCAAGCTCACCTCCTTCAGCGGAGTCAGCATTGAGTTCTGCTGCAATGAGGAAATTTTCTCCTTTTTTAGGTGTTCTCTACATCGCTGCCGTAACTGGGCTTTCTGTCTAAAATGAGAGCCCGATGTGCTGCAAGTTACTCTTTGCTCAGTGATTATTTTAATATTGTATATTGTTTTAAAGGCATGAACTAAGGAATCCGAATAAGAGGTAATACATATAATGCATGTAAAGTACTTAACAAGCCGGCATATAGTAAGAATTTTAATATATTTTGCTTGTTATTATTTTTTATTACTACTGTATATTTCAAGCCATTTACCTATAAAATTCCTTCAGTTGATTGTAGTTTAATATCTTGACTTTTCATACCTCGAATTGTTTTTGAGCATTGCAGCCTATTCCTACTCTATCAAAAGGTAGGATCTATTATAAAATGATCATTCAAAAATAGACCAAACACAATTTACATTTCCTATTACCGAGCCTAGTGATGCTTGAAACAGATTTTAAATTGCCACTTGGGAACCTATTTCCTTATTTTTTGCAAACAGTTTTCACATTATTTTTCAATCTGTGCCACAATTTATTTTATAGTTAATGTTTTTCCATGGTCATTAGTCATAGGTTCAGATAACTACCAGGAGGAAACATATTGTCCCATGACTGGATTAGCTACCCTGCCCTTCCATTTTTTAATACTCTCTACTTCAAGTGACCAAATCATTTCTGACTGGATAAATTGCCAGATTTTCAATAGTTTCCCCATTTGAGTAATGTTTGTTTTGGAAATAATCTGTAATAATAACAGGGTAGAAATCAATCTATCTTGTTCTTGGCAGGTTGAGGGCTCATAGAATATTTTGCCTAACTCACTGTGGATTCCAAATCTTAGCAGTTAACAGTTGATTAAAACCAACCAATCAACTAACACATCTCTCCCCTAAATAAAAACAATAACAAAAGCAGGCATTTAAAAAGTCATCTTTCTGGATCCCTGTCCTATCAAAAATACAGCAGCTTTAACTTCCTTGTGGGACTTCTCTAGAACCCTGAAGACCTAAGGAATATAGTTTGGAACCCACTGGTCCAGATTACTGAGAAGTTGTTTGTTTTCTTGCTCATCAAGATGAGATTCCTTGCAATGAACCTCTCTTAAGAATTAAACATGTTTCTCTTTCACAGCCAAGTGTAGTAGTTTCCCAAGAAGAATCTTGAAAACAGCCTGCCAGAATTCAGCAGTGGGAGTATGTGGACCACCAAGAAGGATCTGCAGTGTATGGAACCAGCAGAAATTGTGCATCACAAAGGGAAAGGCTTGGTGTTAAACATTTGGAGAATGTTTCCAATTTCAGCTTCACCTAAGGTCACTTACATGCACAAGAATCAGTAGAATTTTGTCCACTTGAGTTTCTGACTATAATATTTGCACACTTTTTATTAGTTGGGTTCAGGTGCTAGGAGAGGGATCTGTTCAATAATTCTCTTTCATCTGAGTAGCAGATAAAGTATTGAGAAGACGATTAGTAGGTCAAAGATCAAAAAAAAAAAAAAAGTCATTAGCTAAGCAATTGATTGATCCACTGTGAAATCCCTGAAATCATTTCATTTGTGCATGTTTGTGTCAAGTATAGCTAAGTGCCTCAAAAGTGACTGATGAGGCTTTTTCTCATTAGTAGGTCCTGTTGTTCATCAGATCAAGGTAGAAAAGAGTTAATAGCTGAAAATTACAGCAGGGATCAAATAGGAGATACAAATTTTTCATATCTGGTTGGAAATGAGCCCTACACACACAAAAATGTTCACAATACCAGTGCTAACTTACGTTTACTGAAGATTATTTAAAATGCAATTAACAGCAACACATGATACTCTTATTTCTTAGGCAGAGTGAGAAGCATGAAATGCTCATGTGATAAGATCCAAAATGTGAGCGTACTACTAGAATAGACAGCCAAGTAGCCTTGTTTACTATGGAGAGAGGAAACCCATATAACCATATTTTCCAAGTCTTTTAACATCCAACAGGAGGAAGGTCTGTCATGTCCATCCTGTGTGGACGAGAGGATTTAGGGTCCTGTGGGGCCTACTAAAATGTAATCTCCCTTCCCAATTTGCCATAATACCATATTTTGGTTCTTAGTAACTAAAATGACCACGACTAGTGTCATTGTAGGACTGTTTTCTCCATGTACACTCTAAAAGTGTACATGTAACTTATGAAGAGAGAAAAGGCTGGAGGACATATCTATTTTTTTTTTCTTTCCACAGCCACATGAATTCAATCCAGTTCAGAAGTTCCAGATACCCTATGAGAGACTGAAATTGGCAGAATTCAGCAGCAGATGAGAACAGAGGAAGGCTCATAGCAGCAACTCCTGAGAGGGGCGAGAGGCAGATTTCAGTGAGGCAAGGCCTTGACAGTGGACCATAAGCCTCTCCATAGCCAAGGCACTGTCTTAGGCACCTTTGTCTTCTCAAGACCTTAAGCTCAATAAATACGCAGTGAATGCATGAGCAACTGCTAAACAGACTTATGTAGGAAGTGGTTGCCATTGCGGGGAGAGAGATAATGGGATAGAAAACACGAAAAAGGCAATTATGTGTATGCACTTAGCTCACCGTGGGGCTAAGTAGTCAGAAGGAAACCAGGATCCAGAAACAACTAGTGAGATGGTTATTTTTCAACGGAACCAAAATGACTTGAGGAGCAGAGAGAGAAGGGAAAATACGGCCAAAGGAGAAAGTGCTCAGGCACTTTCTTCTAAGAAAACCCTATCCTTACTTCTGTACAGTATTGCCTTTCTATATTTACTCCCTAATGATGTTATTGCAAAATGCATTAAAAAATCCATTTTTCCAAGTAGACTATGAAGCTTGTATCTTCATGCTTATGAAAACACACATGAGAAAACACATGTGTGGTAATGACATTAGTCCAAAGGATTATGTTTATTTGCAGTTAGTTGATTTTGTGTATGTATATCTACTTGTCTATGTGTGGGTTATGTGTGTCTGTTCTACAATTTAAAGAGAGCACTTGGATCATGAATACAATTAGTTTTTACCTCCTGTAAAAACTCCTCCTCCTCCTGTTTAGCCTAAGGTGTAATTGTGTATATTTAAGCATTTGATTCCATAGTGTGATTTAGTTTCATGTATATGGGGAAGTGTTAGTGCACCTAAATGTAAACTTTGATTTTTAATTTTGATTTGCAAAAATTTCCTTTTGGAGTGTGTAGGGTGTCATGTAAACCCCTGAGATAACCTCTATCATGATACCCAGAGAAGAGGGGTTTCTTGAGAGTACATAAGTTGAGCTTCACATCATTTTGCTTTTCAGCAGATATATTGACAAGAGTTAGGAATGACCATGTGGGATCTTACTTTGGTTGGAAGTAAGGAAAGAGGGAACTGACAGGCAAAGTATCTTCAGATTTTCTCTTGATACATGTGTTCCCTCTTTAGCAGATGATGGATATTTGCAACCTTCAAATGGATGTAGAATGATTTCTTACCCATATCATTTAGCTCTCTTTTGTCTTTTCCATTGCTCCAGATCTTGAAAAATTCCCAACCAATAGCCTCCTAACTTAAATTTCTCAATTTCTCTAATATTTTCTAATTGGCATATCACAAAGAAGGCAAAAGATACACCTTCCTTAAGGTGTAAACACTGAATCCCAAGTACTCATTAATAGCATATCAATCAGTTTCCTTGCCCTTCACTAGTCCTGTAATGCGTCCTTTGTCCTTGCAAATACATTCCCAGGCATATTTTTAAAAAGTGGGAAAAAAATTGAATGTGAAAATCTCTACTCTAAGGAAGCACAAAGGCAATCCAGAGATAAAAGATTCCAGAGGTTTCCTCAGTTTTAATGACTCTTTGCTTGTGTTAAAAAAAAAAAAAAATCTGAAAACGAAGAATTCCACGCCAGACAGACTCACAGATCAGGGCAGAGAAACATGCAAGGCTGGTGCTGTCTGGGAGACCCCAGACATAAATTCCTACTTTAGAACTCGGCCCTTTTGTGGGGGAAAGGAAAGAGTCACTAACGTTCTCACTTAGCGACGTGTTGAACGCATACTCCTGTAGGCGCTGGTGTGCTTTAGGATCAGGAATCCTGTTAGGATCGGGTCCACAGATCAGATCTAGAGTGCAGTTCGGGAGATAAGCCTCCTTCTCTAGCTGTTAGCTGCCAAGCTGCGCTCACGGCCTCAATTTCTCTGCGCGCAGGCGTTAGAGCCTGAGAAGGACAAATACAACTCCCAAACAAGCCTTCTCATTGCAGTAGAAGCATTGGCGATTAACGGCCAAACCGCTCCAAACCCGAGCCCTGAGCTTGCCCGGGACGCCTTGTCTCCTGCAATACTTCCGCGCCTCGTCCGGCTGCTGCCACTGGCGCCCCCAAGCGCCGCGCGCTGGGCGCCCCAGTCACTCTTAAATCCTCCTAGACCTTCTCAGAAGCAAACCGGACCTAGGGAGCCTTGTGAGCTGGAAGGAAAGGCTTCCCATGGAATTCCCAGAAGCTAGGAGGCAGGAAGCTGAGGAAAGCAGAGCCTCAAAAGGCTCCCCTGCCTCCGTTCATTCCAGTTTGGGATTTCCTCTCTGCAAAGGGGGCAGTTGCCTGGCACGGTAAAGGTGCCCGGTAGAGCTGGGAGATTGAAACCCTCGCAGCGTACTCAGGGCACCCCATTCCTCCCAGCCCCAGAGACATAAACGTACGCTGCGTGTGTGGTGGGGTCCCAGGGTTAGGGGTGCAGAAGGCAGACACTAGAAAATCCCAAATTTCTCCTGGGCTTAAAGAATAGGAACATCTTTCCCCTTTCTCAGGTCGTTTTCTCCCCAATTCCAAAGCCCCCATCCATCTCAGTTGGGCACCCCTTGGCACACAGCATAGCGCAGCCTCACACACCGACTGGGAGGCAAAGACTAAAACCCAACTTGAGCATTCGAGCGTACACAGACCACAGCATTAACGCCCAGGTGCTCACTTCTCTAAATCTTCTGTAGGGCTTTCTAGTGCCCCAGTAGGAGTCAGGCATTGTAGGTGGGTGCTGGTGGTCCCCAAGGGCGGTGGAAACCTGCCCCTCTCCACTTCCACTTTTGTCCTCCGTCCGTCCCCAAAGGTCTTTCCACCGTCTGGAGCTGTGGTCAGGAATTAGGAGACCTCACGTTCCTCTGGGGCTGAATCCCATTTTCTCAATTGTTGTAGCGTGAAGAGGGGTGTGGGAGGGGGGCAAGGAGGAGAGGCAGGAGGGGGGGCCGCAGAAGCAGCAGCCGCATGGGGGAAGGAGAAGAGTGGGGCGGGAACGTGGGGGGTGAGAGAAACGATTTCACTCTTTGTCACTCTTGAATTGGGGGCGGAGGGAAAAAAAAAAACCCCACTGTGGGAAGCTATAAAAAGCAAAGGGGGCGGCGGTGAGAGAGCAAACGGAGAGAGGGAGACCGATCCGCGCGCGAGACCGCTCCCAGGGCATTGCTGCGTTCCTGGCAGCGGTAGGCTGCCGGGTGTGAACCGGGAAGCGACGCTTCGCGGCGACTGTGCCTGCGCGCGTGGGAGACCTCCGCTCGCCTCAGACCTCCAGGGTCACGTCTGGGGCGTTCTTGATCCCCCATTAGAGCGCCCGCTAACACTGTGTCCTGCAAAGGTGGAGGCTTAAAGCTTAAAGCGTAGTAAGGAAGGCAAAGAGGAGAAAAAAGCAACCGAGGCCGCGGGAGAAGGAGCTGGTGTGGACCTCCAGAGGGATTAAGAGGACGATTGGACCGCGGAGATCCGGGTCCAGAGGGATTAAGAGGACGATTGGACCGGCGGGACCACGGAGGTGCGGGGCAAGGAGCAACTGGAGCGGTGCGGTCTGTGGGGCTGGGTCTTCTTGCACCTCGGGTCACGCCTCCTTGGCGAGAGTGCTCCTCGCCTTTGATTGCTTCCAGTTACTGCAGAACTTCCTGCCCCGCTGGAGAAGCGGGTCTCGCTCTGGTCGCTCTCGCTCCTGGTCTGAAGCGTGAGACTGAGTTCACACGGTGCTGGGCCCCCCCAAGCCAAGTGGGGTTGGGGGAACAGAGCCTGCGATCCGCCTCTCCCCGAGTGAGGGGCCAGGTGTAGGGGTCCTCCCTCCTCTCTCATCCGCACCCCTCCCGGCTTTGCGCCTCCCCGGGGACCCCTCGCCAGGAAATGGCCGCGCTGATGCGGGGCAAGGACTCGTCCCGATGTCTGCTCCTACTGGCCGCGGTGCTGATGGTGGAGAGCTCACAGCTCGGCAGCTCGCGGGCCAAACTCAACTCCATCAAGTCCTCTCTGGGCGGGGAGACGCCTGCCCAGGCCGCCAATCGATCAGCGGGCACATACCAAGGACTGGCTTTCGGCGGCAGTAAGAAGGGCAAAAACCTGGGGCAGGTAGGAAAACACTCCAAATACACTCTACAGCAAGAGCGACAGGGACCAGCGCTCTTGAGCGCCTCGTTTGCCTTTGCACGCCTCAACCTTTCAAGTGCGTCCCCAGGTGTGGCGCGCACCACAGCTAGGGAGGGGTTCCCAGAACAGATCTTCGTGGGCAGGGGTGGCGGGTGGCTGCTGGTGCTGGAGGGTGTGGACCGGGCGGATTAGAGTTCTCTCATTTTTTCCTTTGGGACATGGGCATGGTCAAAATCCAGAGCGTATCGGTGGGGAATGGTCCTTCTCCAAATTTAACATGGCAATGCTGATGATAATGTTAATAGCAGCTAACACATAGCAACTATTACGTGTCAGGCACCGCTCTAAGCGTTTACATATATTTAATCTTCACAACCCTATGAGCTAGGCGCTGTTACTCCCCCCATTCTGCAAATGAAGAAATTGAGTTAAGGAGTGATTAAGCGATTTGCCCAAGGCACACAAGCTAGTGTTAAGTGGCAGAGTGGGATTCCAGTCTAAACAGTCTGGGGCCAGGTCCTGGTCTCTTAACCATTACATTTTACAATGTGGAGGGGGGGAGTTACCCTCTTTCAGGTTCTGCTTCCCTCCCAACCACTTTCTTCCTTCAAAGAAGTGAGGTCACAGAAAACTTCAGGACAATCCATTTCTCAATTCTCTAGCATTGTAAATAAATCATCCAGGAGGCAGCAAAATAATGAAGCGACATTGACAGCATCGCGTAACGCAGGCGACCAGGGTGCCTGCGACATAGCAAGGTACACGCCGGAGGCATTTTCGCAAGCGGAAACTTTTCGAGGGCGTTTGTCACATTGTCATACAGACACATTGACAGTCGCTTGCAAAGAGTTACGCAAATATTCACAAACAATAAAACTAGCGTGCACACTCAGGGCCCGCTGTGGCCAGCGCACAGCAGCCAGGAGAGGGGGCCTTGTGGGCACTGGGAACCACGACAGCTCCCCCTTTCTGCTCCTTTTGTAGCAAGCCAAAACCGAAAGCCAGTATGCCAAACAGCACACGCACCTCTCAGCACAACTGTCAACCCGTGAAAGCGGCTCATTGCCCCACAGATCCTGGGTTTCCTTGTTTCATCGGAGGACCTTGTTGCACCCGCTGTGCGAGCTCTTCGTGTCCTCCACTGCCCCTGGTCCTAGCGCAGGCGGCAGGGTGAAGTTGAGAGCAAGGGCCAGTCCTGGATGGACAATGAGGAAAAAGTTGGCCCGGGTTTGGCCCCCTACTGCCCTCTCACGGGGACAGTTTTGCTAGGTTTACAGTTCCAGAATGCTTCCTAGGCTTTGAAATGACAAACATTTCAGCTATCTTCTCAAAGGAATACAAAGTCTACAACCACAGGACTTTTTTTTTTTTTTTTTTAAGGGTCTCCAGGGAAATGAACTATACATATGCATGCATACTACATGCATAAATACTACATGCATACATGTCC